TAGCTTCACCAATTTCGATTTTTATTTGTTCAAAATCGCTGAATTTTCTTATTTTCCCATTCAAATGCTTGGAAGCGATGCCGGTGAGGCAGCAGCGAGCTCTGCCTCACCTTGGATTGCGCAACCCCTGGCTCTGCGCTGGCTGCAAAGCGGAGAGAGCATGTTGCTGTACGGCGTCAATAAAATGGTTTAAACAAATGTAATATGTGAACTTATTTCTAATAATTTGGCTTATGTATATAATGTACAGAGCTTTTTGTCACCAACTGTGTTTGTGTAACGTGTTTCGTGTAATGAGCGATTATAAACGGCAGAGAACAAGTTCGAGGTGAGGCAGGCAGTTCTCTTGCCTCATGGCAGGGGGTGCTCAAGAGACTGAAAACATAAGGCAGGAACAGGACGGATCAAGGAAGGCTTTCTTCCCTGGCAGTGATCTCCATTGAGACAGAGAGACTTTTAAAACTGAAGGAAGATAAGGAGGACTTCTATTCATTTATAAGTAAAGGTAAGACAGTAATAACGTTTATTTTGTTTTGTTTTTTAAGGAAATGTGTGTTTTGTGAGCTACAGTTTGTATGTGTAAGGATGCAGAAGTGAAACATAACCTGTAAACTGCTGTCAATCTATGCATCTATTTGCAAATCTGATTCTGATGACGTCAGTGCCTCACCAGCTATGAACCTCACCGCACGTCACTGGTTCACACCGGACGCAGCAGGCGCAGCAGAAGCAGCAGAAGCAGCGAGTTTACATTCAAAGTCAATGGTCGACTCGCGTCAAGGGGCAGCAAAAAGTCCCGCAGCGCGTTTTGAGCAGCAGGAGCAGCGCGTCGGGAGCGTTTAAGTAACTGACGCGCGTGATGCGCCACAAACACGCTGCTGCTCGAGATGGAAAAAATTGAACTTTTGCTGCTCGATGCGCCGCGTCAACCAATCAGAGAAGCTGATCTGGGAGCTGGCTGGGAGAGAGACACTGCGCTGATGATACAGAGCGCTGTGATCACTCCTCTGAAACAGTTTGTTAACGACTAAATTAACTGAAAATGCTCAAACCTGCCAACAGAATATGTTCGCTTTTATTATCCAGGTGCCTGCAGTTTGGATTATTTAGATGAAAAACACCTACCAGCCGCCGCTGTGAACCTTGAGAAGGCGACCTGGCCAGAGGCTGCTGTTGAATGGGAGTCCTACTGACAGCGCACCGCTGGTATGTGGGGGTCTGAGCGTCTCCGACAGAAATAATATTGGAAGGCAAGATTATAATCTGAATGAACTGACTGCACTGATTAAGTCTTCAGGTGGATTTTCTCACCTAAAAACATATTAAAACTAATTTATTCCCACTGATCACAGCAAATATAGCTGCAAGGCAAATAAAGGATAGTGTAGCTCCGCCAGAAGCGCGTCAGACACACTTTTGCATCGCACAGCCAGAGCAGCAAAGCTGCTTCTGCCGCGCGTCAGAACTAACAGGTACAAGCAGCAAAAATGAAGCAGCAGACGCGATTTTGCAGCTCTTGCTGCGTCCGGTGTGAACGTAGCATTAAGATTGACAGCTGCCCCAGCATGCACTGCAGCAGCAGCTTCCAGATTAGCGCTCACAGAGCTCCGAGTATTAAGGAAAAAGATCCCTTTTCTGTTGCCGTTGTTCTATAAAAGTATGTTTTCAGCTCATTATACTTTTAAGCGTCACTATATGGCCCATTTACTGATTTAGTGAGTAATTTTAAAAAGTTCTGATGTTTCAGAGGACCACGGCAATCAGTGGACCTCCAAGAGTAACTCTCTCTGCATAGCAGTGTGGGAAGTATCGCTGGCTCTGATGGCGATTTCTTTTGTTTTATTTGGCAAAATGTTAAATTAATTCGAGTTTATTTGACTGTGTTCATCATTATTCCCCCACTATACGAAAAAAAAAGTCAGAATTTATAATCTAGAGACTATTAATAACAGGAGACGGCGTGTGGTGACGCCTCGAGTACGCTTCCAGTCCAATTGACCCAGATTTATGCTGCATGCTACTGTTCTCCCGAAGTCCATAATTTCCTGTGTTCTTGTCAAGAACATACTCGGCGAGAGCACCAGTCGGTACTCAGGTTCCTGTGAATTGAAAAACAGCCCATGTCTGTGTGGTTAACTGGTAGGAATGCATCATTTATGGACCTCAACACTGACATCTGCTAATGCTGGTCAATTGTAACAGAAGTAAAAATGGACCCAATACTGAATAATGAGATATACTTTTCCATATTCTTTTTTATGTATCTTTAGGGGAGGGGTTTGGGATTGTGGGCAGTGTAACTAAAGCAGAGAAGAAAACATTTATATAAAACATTGTAAGTCGTGTTTATTACCCATAACAGCAATCAAATAACAAAAAGTCCATATAGGTTCATCTATATTAAATGGTGTCACAAACATAGAAAACACAAGACTTGTTAAATGAAGCATAATCAAAGCTATGGGGAAGCATGGATACCATTAAGAAGATAATGGCATCGCAATGGAGCCTTGAGGAACCTCACCTATTTCCTCACTCAGCTTTTTAATTGCCAAATGATTCAATGTGACTATGCCTTTTCCCATTTTTGTTTTTAAGTAGGTTTTTGAGAACCTGTATCCTACAGTTATCTTTAAAAATATCATGCCTCTTAACATTTGGTATTCTCTGCCTGACACTGAAAACACCTATGAAACTGTCCATCATGACAATTCTGTATGCGTTCCAAAAAGTAACATTGTGATTGGTGTTTTAAAGCAACCTCCAGAAGTTTTGTTGGGACTTATTTAGCACTTGTAATCAGTAAAAAGTCCAAATGACTTGTCCAATTCAATGCAGTCATCACGTTTCATAGATTTTAATCAGCATCAGAACCTTGACCAAAAGAGGACCCAGGGTCAGAGTTCATCTCTTCTATTTGCCAGTCTAAAATTGAACTTTTTTTCCCTTTCCTTTTTAGGTTTGTCCTCTATATGAAGAGTAAAGCTATGTTATATAATAATTTAGCATCAGCATACTGCTATTTTTAGACATATTTTTTACAGAGTCAACTTTGTGTAATATGACCAAGCCAGCTAGGACCAGTGAAGAGTGTTCTCTGATTACAGATTCAGCACATCCTGTTATTAAATTCACTCAATTTAGGACTAAATACTGTATAATCTGACTTTAGGTCAAAACACCACACAGAATATACAGTTTGCCTAATTACGAAAAAGAGGACATTTTTTTATAGCCATCTCCCTATTACATAAGAACTAAGTCAATGCACCTACATACGAGTTCATCTAGCAATCAATGAGAGACAAACGAGTACACAGACAGATAACCATATATCAGTTTAGAGAGACCATTATGTGACCATTATGTATGTGAGGCAGTGAAGTAACCCACAAATAGATGGTGAGAAAAGGTCATTTAATGCTGAAAGATCTTGTTCCTGGTGGGGTTCAAGCCATTGATGAGTTCAGACTCTTATTGCAGGTCAACAACTAATGTGCTAAAAAAAATGGCAACTTAATTAAAGTATAACCATTGCACCAGCTAATCATATATTGGCAAGTCATTGAAATGTAACTTCTGTAAGGGTAACAATAGAATGAAGCAAAATTAGCGTTTAAAAAAAGGAATCTGAAATAGTTTTCCACAGAGTTAAACTGAAGTACATGCAGAAGAGAACACATTCAGGAATCGTGACACAGAAACCAGAGGTCAGAATAAACATTAATGTAACCTTTAATGTCCACTTAATTGAATAACAACATCAAACTGCCTTTTTCCTCTCACCAGTGACCCCTGGGGGTCCTCAAACTCCACTTGGAGCCCTGAGCTGCACTAAGAGAAGGGGGTGGGGAGTAGCAGGGGAGGGTGTTTGACTAGGAGGGGGGGGGAGTGGGGTCCCCTGCACTATATAACCATGGGAGCTTTGCAATTGGCTCCTATTGTATACACTGAATGAGCATTGAGTTTCCTTCAATGGATGACGAATTTCTTTCCAACCGCCCAAACTGAAAACTGCGATCAAACCAGTCTGGAGCCGCAGCCAAAGCGCATAGAGAGAGAGAAAAGAACAGCTTCTAAATAGTTTGTAACTTTAAATATTGGAGGAAAAATACATGAATAGTGGTTCTGATATAAAACGATGGCAAATTGTTGTTTGTCTGGACTGCAGGTACATATGGATACTTCAATCCTAAACTGACGCATTAAAATTTATTTCATTTTATACAAAACAGAGGATGGCGCAGCACAATCGCAGTCAATTCAGCTGGTAGTTAAGGGTCTAGGTAAAACATAAAAAAAATTAAAATGTGAAATTTTGATTATATTAAATCTGCCTGAAACAAAGCTTCCCCGCGAAAAGAGACACACGCCATCCGTGGCGCGTCTCTAAGAGCCCGTGGGGGGGTAAAAACAGACCATGGGGACTTTTTGGGAAAAAAAAACAAACAAAAAAAATTAAACAAAAAGAAAAAAAAAACGCTGTAAAGAAGATTTGCAGGCTAAGATGTGGAGCCTATAGTTATAAAACCGATAGCTTTCATTTAAGGAACCACAGAAATGTCCCCCCCTGCGGTCCCTGCAAGCATCTCAGAAAAAAACAACAACTGAGCTCATAGAAAACCAAGAGATAGGATTCAGACTGGGGAAAATAAGCAGTTACTAAAGAGAAAAAAGAAATGAAAACCAGTTACAGATAAGGAAACTGTTAAGAAAACAAAAATGTGTCTTTTATGAAAGTCTGTGTCCAACTAGATTGAATTAATGTATCCAAGCTCCATCTGTAAATAGATAAGGGACATTTCTCTTACTGCAGAAACTTTTTGGGTCTGCCTTGTATGTGGATGAAATTAGAGCCCCTTGCACCAGCCTCTCTACTCCCTGTCCGGAGTCAGTGCAGCCGGAGGGGGGGCAACCAGAGGATGCTGCTCTGCCTCCAGTCAGAAAACAGCCTGGACTTAATCTCCACACAGCCTATTGTTAGAAACAAGTGCTCTCACCTGCACAGCCGGTGAACAACAGTCCCCAGAGGATGTCCCTTATCTGAAGCATTGTAATGTCTCACAGATACTCTCCTTGAAGATCTTGTGAGGAGCTTCTGGATGAACAGAAACCAGCCTCTGATGGATTTTGTTTTGGTTGTTTTTTTTTTTTTCCTCCAGGCACGTAAATAACAGCTGCAACAGGATGGATTTTTGGTCCTTGTCGCTACCCGTGTTCGCGCCGCGGCACAGTGAATGACAGGAGCAACCGAATATCGCACCAACGCGCACAGAGACGCACTGAACGGATACTAGCGCGGATCACTCCGCCCGCCAGGATCAGCACACACACAGAGGGGGCGGGCCGAGCTGAGGCGGCTGCAGCATCCAAACAGGGCGCGCAGCGGCAGCAGATGGTCACAATGATACTCTCTAATTCCGATTAATAAGATTAGTAATGTGTAAACTTCTGCAAGTTGTCGCATTTTGCGGATTAATTAAAAATGGTTGCAGAGAATTAAGAAAAGAATGATTCATAGTCATTCCCAGAACATTTGAGAGCCTTCGATACATATCATGAAATCTATAGTTATACTTTGTAGGCAATGGAAGATTTGACACCGATTTTATTCGTCATCCCTTTGGCTACTACACTGATTAAAAAAGAAAAAAAAAAGTTTATTATTTTAGCTGTATTTTTTAAAGTACTGCGAAATGAGAAAAAGTCAATTGATCCACCACCTGCTCTTCCCCTCCTCCTACATTCATTAAGATCAAACACAAACCTGTGCAGGGCACCATAATTTGCTTCCTGATAGCTAATTATTTAGAATTTGGGTCTCAAGGCCCCAGATTAGTATTTTATTTTTCTATTTTGTCAAAAAAAAACATTTTGCCACTGGTCTTCAATGCAAAATGTTAGAGCCTTGCTACAATACAGAGCACCAACAAAGCAGTGAAGTATCTTACTCATAGTGACCAAATCTAAGACGCTTAATGAACATTTTTTAAAGTTCGGGCAGCAGCGAATAATAATTGGATCATTATCTATACCTAAAACTAATACGTCCGCAGCGATTTAATGAATTTAGCGTTAATCAATAAAAAAAAAATGAAAACCATTTTCGTTGCGATCACTGAGTCTGGGAGCGGCCATTTCTGCCCAAATAAAATAAGATCTTATAAGCCTAGCACCATTCTCCCCGCTTTACAAGCAAAATCAATGGGAACTACTAGACACATCTGCAATCAACAACAATTATTGAAGATTTACAGAGGACTTCACCATTGAAATTCACCAGAGCTATGGCTAAACTGACAATGCCCACGTGCATGGCAGTTGGATGTTGGAATACATTGTGTATGTTGCATTTTGAATATTATCTGACTTTTCCTTTAAGGAGCTACCAATCTCTGTTTTGTTGTTAAATAAAAATGATACTGTGCTCCGGATTAGCAAGGATTCCATCAACCTCATGCACCATAAGCAGTAATATTCACCAAAGGTGTTAAAAGTCTTCACACTCCTAGCCCAAGTTAAAGTACAGACATGGGTGTAAAGTATAGACTTTGGTAAATATATCAGTTGAACCCCTTTACTTAAGTACAATGTCTAACGTGTACTATTCTACTTTTACTTAAGAACCTATGCAATATTAGTTTTACCCTTTAAAAATATATAAAAAAAAGTTATTCACTTCCTTTCTCTGTAAAGTGCAATAACTTTAAAATACATGTAAAAGTCCTTTAGGAATTAAACCAGGAAACTTATAAGATTTTAGTAAGCAGTGATAATGATTTAGTTATGAAAACTATAATTTTTTCAAACTAGTTGATATTCATTTAAATAGAAAATGTTAGAATCTACCACACAGCAAGAGACAATAGTGCACATAAAGACTTTAGTATAGGAATGAGAACATATGTGATTTAATGAATTTAAAGCATCCCAAAACTAGGTGTTATCAGTGCCTTTGTCACAGCTAGTCTTAATACCCCTTAAAACCCCAAAGACTTTCCTGTTAAAATCTCCAAGTCGGCTCTTCATAATAAAAGCACATGTAAAACATTACTTTACAGACTGATGTTCTCTATGCACAACTTTTGAATCAGCTCGGGGACTACATCAATTTTTGGAAAAGCCTCAGAAGCACTGAACATGTAGACCACTTACGTTCATCCAGAGCAGTGTCTGGATGGTGATCAGATTCAGCAGTACTTACTTGTACAGTGGAAAAAAATCGAAATCTAGATACCGGTAAGTAACTTTTTCTTTAAATAAGGGCATTTGTTCTTTGATTGAGGAGGTAAAAGATACATTTTGCCAATGGAACAAGACAATTTACACTTAAAATAAGAAAATACAATTACATTGTCTTATTTCAAGTGCATGTTATCTACTTATCTTATTTTAAGAGTAAAAATACTAATTCCATTGGCAAACTATCTAATTTACCTAGTCAAATTAAGGATAAATACACTTAATTTATTTCTAGATCATTTTTCCAGTGTAGATCTACACATGCAGAGAGCATAAATGCAGGGAAGTGCTGGAAACAGATGAGCTGGAGGTAAGGGAGGACAAGGAACAGTAATTCTAGAGCTAAATCAAAATCTTTTTTAAAGCAAACAAAAAAATATATTCAAAGCATTCTTTATTCCAGCCTTTGTCAACATTTGTTGCTTTAGGTTCCATCAATCCATTCATTTTCTGCCTGGACAGGTTGCCAGTCTGTCGCTGGTTCCATTTGTTTTTTTTTTTTTTTTTTTTTTTTTTTTTTTAGTTTCTATGACACTAGTGGCTAATTTTTTCAACAGTAGGCTGACAGGAAAGGGGGTATGAGAGAGAGGGAGAGACATGCGGGAAAGGACCCCAGGCCGGATTCGAACCCCACTCGCCCATGTCGAGGACTAAGGCCTGCGTACATGGGTCGTGCCACTAACCACTGCACCTGCATGGCCAGCAGGTTTCCATTTTAACTAAAAAAACACAAACAAAGTTTAATTTTGGCTACACTTCTGTAACCTACGTCACAACTACAACTAGTCCCTTATTGGTCAGTTAAACGCGATTTCACAGAAAAGTTCAGATTTTTCAAATTCAGAGGTCACCTCTCTGCTCTCTCCTTGCAGTGCCGCTGTTTGACAACATGCAGCTGGCTGCTACACCGCCCACCACCGCATGGTTTACTTAGGGATACTATGTCAATCCACCTCCCTTGCCACAGATACCGCTCTTGGTCTTTATGCACCTTTAGAGAAGTTTCAAGCAGCCAGTTACTTAACTTTATTGTGAACCTTACATACATTTTCTGTTCCAGATGTTATTTAGATGGTAGCTTGATCTCACATTGAGTTCACCAACTTAAACCAGCGTCCCTGGATACAGACATGCCAGCTGCAGGTAAAGTGATCAACAGTTGTGTGATCAGCAAATAAAAATGAAATGTATACTTGTAGATTTTATTATTATAAGATATATCTTAATTAAAATTGACAATTGCTTCTAAGTAACAACAAATGGGATCATTTGATGAAAAACTAGGTTTGGAAAACAGCTGATCAGGAATAGTTTGTATGAAATCGTACGAAAAGTTGTATTTCGTCGTATTTTTACGTCTTGCCTCGAGACAAGACATCAGTGCGCATGCGCATCTTACGCACCATTCAATAACATACAATTTAACATACAATTAACCCTGACCTTAACCCTAACATACAAAACAGCAAGCAACCTAGTGAGAGACATCATGAAGTAATTATTGCACTGTGGAAAGCTTGTCCGTCCCAGTTTTACGTCCGTCCGCTGATCTGGCTGGCTGCGCATGCGCACTGATATGTTTACGATTTCATACGAACTGATAATGAGAATATGTTAAAAGGGTGAATGCAACATTTTTTTTCCTAAATCATTCTTATGAGCGATTTAAGAACAACATTCGAATGCTTCTTGCATGAGGTGCATCATCCTTACGCAAGATGGCCAGTGAAGGCCTTGATTGGTTAGATGAAACCAAACTTGTTATACAAATGTAAAAACTTTATTCCCTTTTGTTAACACAATAATCATTAAAAGAAAAGAAGCGCTTAATCAGGATCAAATTCCAGCAATATTACTTGTGTAAATACTGTAATAATACTAGCAAGTTCAAACTTTCCCACATAAAGGTGACATTAACTAGAATGAACACCAGAACTATCTGCATTTTCTGAAACCTCATTTGTATGGAAATATCTAGATACTACTGTACAACCAGATTAATAATATAAACATGTAAAATGACTGGAACTGTGACAAACAAGCTTGAAATAAGGCTTCAGTTTATTTTGGCACCTTTCACAGGGAGGAGGATGGTAAGGAATGTTGGAAAACAAACAAATAATAAAAAAAAGGATAAGGATACATCTCTGAAGCTCAGCTCTGGAGAACTCCAGGAATTGCTAGAGCCTTTTGGAATAATTTATGTGTTTTAAGGCTTTGCCTACATCTTTTACAAAATATGTCTGTAAAAATGGATATTATGATACGAGTAAGATGTGAAAAATTGCAGGTAACAGGTTAATGACTTGACCCAAACCCACAGATATACATATTTGGTTAATTCATGTGATGAAGAGGTAAGGATGACAACCAATGGTCTCCTGGTACAAGTTCATGTGATCTTTGCAAACAGCATTAGAACCCAAACTAAATGACGTACACACATTTAACTATTAGCAGAAAGGAAACTTCCTTTTACTATAAAACATGCACTGATTCTGCATTTAAAATGAAGATAATAAACCACCAGAATCTCTATTTAGTTCTTAAAGGGCCCTATGAGAATATTCTGGGAAACATGGCTGTCTCAAAGCCTTTTAATAACAAACCTCTGAAGAAAGGAGAGAGACATGAAGAAGCAACAATAACAAAACTAATGAGTTACAGCTTTAGGTATAATCTCATTGATTTTTCTTTCATGTAGGGTGTTACATCAGTTGGTGTTTGCTTGCTCACATAATCTCACACATTTCACAAATCTGTGCATGAAGACTGATAGTTGCTTTTATACAAGTAGTATGTTTTGCAAAACATGTTAGATTTTCACTCAAGTTATACTTTCACACTGGAGAAAAATGTTCAATAGACTGAAACATTTCATTATTTCATATAAAGCTTAGGGGCCAATTACGCATTACTGCAAGTTATACTTAAGGAAATGTTTTGTTTTTTTAATCACTGTTAGGGAGCATTGTGAGATACGAAGAGGTTGATTAGTCTTCGGATTCTAACTTTAAAAATAGATTTTTCTCGGTCAGTTTATATCTTAGATTGTTAATTCTGCTATAAT